CCCCCCCATTATTTTTTAATTTGCACTTCCCACTGCCTTGGTTCAGCCTCAGCTTCTTTCACCTGGATCTTTGTGCTAGCCACTACTTGGTCTTTCTGCCCCTAATCAGTTTCTTTCTTCTCAAAACTTTCACATTGCTACCTGGGAAAGCAAAGGTCAGATAATCTCTCCTCTCCAAAAATTTTTAGTGGCATCCCATGGCCCACAGAATAAAGCTCAGAGTTATTCAGTTTAGTATTCAGTCTTCCACCATCTGGTCTGAAACTGTCCTTTTAGCTTCACCTTCTATATATCTTTGTATATATACCCTCTCTTTGTTACCATTTCTCTCTCCAACTAACTTCTCTCCCTCCTCCCCAAGAAAGAAAAATTTATTTCTATATTCATTCACATTGATTTTTATATTTTAGTCTGAAATATCCTTTCTCTCCATTTGCAGTTGTAATTGAATTTTCTTTTAAGGCCTATTCTGAATGTTACTTTCTCCTTCCTCCTCCCAACCCCATCCTACCAATCCTTAGAATGAACCACTCCTTTTTGGTTCCCATAGTTTATTTTTCATACTGTGGTTTGACACTCATATTCTAGTTAGTGGTTGACTTGTCAGTCTCTCTCAATTCTACTTTTAGACTTCCTTGTGTTGCTCCCCCTTTTCATTTGCAGTAGTCTCCCTGACATTATGCCTTTTCCCACTCCTGCCAGTCCTAAATTCTGGTGGTTTTGTGATCTTAGTAAACATATCAGATTATGTCATGCATTAAGAAGGAGAGGAAGAAGCAATTGACAGGAATTGGTAGAATCCATTCACTAGTAGTAGCAATATCATGCAGTCTATTTTTTTAATCTTATGTTTACATGCCTATTGTTTTGAAACATCAAAGAATATTTAGTCTTCATTTTTAAAAAAATGTTTTTATTGATTTTAGAGAGAGAGGAAGGGAGAGGGAGAGAGAGAAACATCCATGAGAGAGAAACATCAATCAGTTGCCTCCCGCACGCCCCCTACCAGGGATTGAGCCTGCAACCCCAGGTATGTGCCATGACTGGGAATTGAACCAGTAACCTCTTGGTGCATGGGACAGCACTCAACCAACTGAACCACACCAGCTGGGCTAGTCTTCATTTATAGATATGTGATATATCTTGGGGCGTGGGAGGAGAATGGAATTGCTGAAGATTTACAGTGAGTTAGTGGTAGGGCCAGGATTTAAACCTAGAACCCTTCCAGAAATGACTTTTATAGCATGTAGAGAGAACATGACTTTATTTTGGGGTGATATTTGTCAGGTACTATTAAAAATGTTCACTTTGGGCTGCTTCTTATGTAGGCTGATATAAAATTTGCTGTGATAGCCTCTCTGGTGTGTTTCAGAATACAACAACGGAAACATTTTTTATTTAATGCTGTCCTTGTTGAAAGTTTGGTCAGATTACAAATAAGAGCATTTGAAATGCTTAACCAAAAACTCTGATCCTTCTCATCCCTGTCTTTTTTGTCAGAAGTAACCACTTGTAATTCTTTTAGCTATTTATTTTGGTACTTTTCTTTATATTTCTATAGTGCTATTTCTAGACATTATTAAGTTCCTATTATATTAACTGAGGACTTCCTTATACTACACCTCCCACCCTTCTTTTTCCTCCATTCCCCTCAGTATATTTGTAATCATTAAGTTAATATTTGGTATCTACATTATTACTACTGATGTTTTAGTTAAGTCATGTGTTTTGATATTTCTTATTTCTGTACAACAAAAATACTTTTTCATGATTTACTTTTTCATAAAGTAAAAAATTACCTAACTTTTCACTTAGTAATTTGCATACCTATTGCCAGTTCATTATTTTAACAAATATTTACTCTGTGCCTACTATGTGTTAGGCATTATTTTTGGTGCTTGGGATACATCAGTGAACAAACTAGACAAAGATTTTTCTTCCTTTGTGAATTGATAATTCTAATTGGGAGATAGACAGTAAACATAATAAAAAGTACAATATATTGTATGTTAGAAGGTGATAGGTGCCAAGTGGAAAACAGAGCAACATAAGGGGGATTTGAAATACAGATACAGGCATGGGTTGTAAAACTAAATAGGGTGATAAGAGTGGGTCTCATTGAGAAGGTGACATATAAGCAAAGATTTAAATTTCTCCCAATGTTATTTTCCACATTGCCAAACAAATGCCTGGATAACATGACATTTCATTTTCCCTAGTGGCTTTCCTTTTTGGAGCCCTGTCTGCCTTGGCCAGGATTAGTTACTCTTGAGGCCTGCAAGCACAATTGTTGTCCTGGGATTTCCCCTGGCCATTTTCCTGAGTTGGATTATCTGTTTCCTAATTCCCACATGTTCCTCTTAGTTGGTTCATGTTCTCTCTTTGATGGAGCAGATTCTCCTATAGCTTCTTGAGGAAGAGTACATGAAGGGAGAAAAAAGTGTTGAGAATGTGGGTATCTTAAAGTGCTTTCAACCTATCTTTACAATTGATTGAAAATTTGTCTCAATTTAGAATTCTAGGTTGGAATTATTTCTCTCAGAATTTTCAAGGCCTTACTGCATTGTCTTCAAGCTTCCAGTGTTTCTGTTGAGGGGAGCATGATGCCCATGATTCATAATTTTTCATATGTGACCTGTTTATTTTCCTCTGAAAACTTTTAAGATTTTCTTTTTATTCCAATGTTCTGTAATTTTATGATGATGGGCCAAGTCCTGGTGTGGTGGTCTTTTGTTTTGTTTTTGTTTTTTAATTTATTGTACTTGACACTTAGTGGGCCCTTGTATTTTTCAATTCTGGGAAATTTTCTGGTATTACTACTTTGATAGTTGAGTGAAGTAGCTAAATTTATCAGTTGCAACTTCATTTTTCTAGATCAGTGATTTTTAACTGGTATGCCATAAGAATTTTTAAAACATGCAATACCTGACTATTTACTCAAGGGCTCTGACCTCTTTCTCCTTAGATTGTCAAA